TGACCTTTGACCTGCTAACTGAGGCCTAACAGATGATGCTCATTGCACAGTCTGACGTTTGGGGTGAATTTATGCCGTTTAATATTTAATTTTTGTTTAATAAATAACGACACGGTGGAGTTTGCTGTTTATGTTCATTTAAAATGAATTATGTTTCGTATTCTTAAAGGGATCCATGATTAGTTGTAACTTTAGACTTTATTTAATAAACATTTATTTTTACTGTTAAATAAAGACTGTAAAAATACTGTTTTTATAATTTTTAAAATATATATTTTAACACGGACGGAGCCATTTTATTTCCACACAAAGCATTCTGGGTAAATGATGACGTGGATAGGTCCTCGGTGCGAGGCTGCTAGCGAGCTATATCCACCCTGAAGGTTAATCTTGGACAATATCTGATGATCGACTCTTTTAAATGAAACCAGAGAGCGTTGACAGAGAGGAGAAGGTAGAAATGACTCAGCCTGGAACTGAAAATATGGATGGAGGACAACAGGTTAGCTTGTTAGAGAAAAAAATAGTATAGGTCTTCTGGACGGGTTCTTCTTTAATGAAACGTTTCGTCTCTCCTCCAAGAGACTTCTTCAGTCTGAGAGTTTCAGGCAAAATTCARGCTTTTAAGCCCTGCCTCCATGTGACTGATACTCACATCACATGGCTACCACTGGAACACAAGTTAGGAGTGATCAGGACTCTGTACCACAGAGCAGACAGTGTCCCTACAAACCCAGGAGCCAGGCAGAAAGAGAAATCACACACACGACAGGCCCTGGAGCAGTGTGGTTATCCTGACTGGGCTTTCCTGAAAGCAGACAGGAAACACAGACAGGATTCCATGCAACCTTCAGGTGAAAATGAAGACCCCAAACCCAGACCCAAACCAGTGGTTATTCCGTATGTTGCGGGTGTTTCGGAGAAACTGAGACGTTTATTTTCTAAACATGATGTCCCAGTRGCTTTCAAACCCCAAAACACATTACGGCAAAGGCTGGTTCACCCCAAAGATCCGGTGCCCCGGCACAAACAGAGCAATATTGTATATGCTGTTAAGTGCCAGGAGGACTGCGACCAGTTATACATCGGGGAAACAAAGCAGCCACTGTTCAAAAGAATGTCCCAACACAGACGAGCTACATCTAATGGCCAGAACTCTGCAGTTTTCACTCATTTACAGGCCAGCGGTCACTCTTTCAGAGATGAGGATGTTCTCATTCTTGATAGAGAGGAACGTTGGTTTGAGAGAGGAGTAAAAGAAGACATTTTTGTGAAGAAAGACCGTCCATCATTAAACAGAGGTGGRGGCCTCCGTTTTCAGTTGTCCCCCTCCTACAGTGCTGCCATTGGCGGTATCACTCCACCCACTGTTAACAATAAGTGTTAATTAGGTGTCAACGATAGCCATGTGATGTGAGTATCAGTCACATGGAGGCAGGGCTTAAAAGCCTGAATTTAGCCTGAAACTCTCAGACTGAAGAAGTCTCTTGGAGGAGAGACGAAACGTTTCATTAGAGAAGAACCCGTCCAGAAGACCTATACAATTTTTTTCTTTTTGATTTTTTACCTGGATTACTGAGATGCATCAGGACACTTAGCCTGTTAGCTTTAGCGTTAGCGCTGACGTTATATTGCCTTATATGTATTAGCTCGGTGCTAGCGCGACAAACAGGCTAAACTGTTGTCCTCCATCCATATTTTCAGTTCCAGGCTGAGTCATTTCTACCTTCTCCTCTCTGTCAACGCTCTCTGGTTTCATTTAAAAGAGTCGATCATCAGATATTGTCCAAGATTAACCTTCAGGGTGGATATAGCTCGCTAGCAGCCTCGCACCGAGGACCTATCCACGTCATCATTTACCCAGAATGATTTGTGTGGAAATAAAATGGCTCCGTCCGTGTTAAAATACTTTTGTAAAAATTTAGTTTAAAATTTTACAAAACTAAACAGCCTACAGTATTTTTACAGACTTTATTTTACAGTTAAATATATGTTTATTAAATAAAGTCTGATGTTACAACTAATCATGGATCCCTTTAAACCCAGGAACTGAAAGATGGCGGACTTTTTTTCCCCCTCGTGACCGTTTGGGTTAATTTCATAAATTCACCAGAGTTTGAGCTGCGTGGGCGTAAACACACAGTTTATTTGACCTCTCAAGGATTCCAGTTATCTTTGGTGGGTCGGTGTGTAACACGGCGTGGCCCTGACGTCACCTGATCCAACGGTCAGCAGGATGTGAACACATCARAAACAAAACAAAAACAAACACGTTTGCCACAGAGAAAAACAGATGCAGCGCTCATCATTCAGTGGGATATTATTCAAAGATTGGTTTCATTTTTCAGAAAAAGAAACAAAAAAATAATAATCTATATTGACTAAAGAGTGAAAGCAGTCGTCGACATTCTGAAGCACTAATCTGACATTCCTACATTGTTCTGACATTAAGTCTAAACATTCATAAAACATTTCATTTGCTTTGTAAAATAAAAGCTAACTAAAAATAAATTAACAGGCAGAAGCACTGCATCTTTGATGCAACTAACATTTCCTTTTAAATACTCATAAATAGTCATTAAAAAACAATTACACCTAATTAAATAACATTAAATTATCATCAAGTACAAAACTAATGTGTTCTAAAAACACCTCATAAATAAATATGGCATCGGACAGAAAGAAAAGAGAACAAACGTGTAAACTTTGGCAAAAGCTAATCATCATCGAAGGTCGAAAGATTCGGACGGAGATTTGGCAACAAAATTTGTTCGCTTAAATTACTTCACAATTTAAAAATAAACAATGCACATAAAAAAAATCACATATTGCAAAAACTTAGGAAGTACCATCGTGGTTATTGGCAACAAATCGTTAAGTACTAAAAATAAAAATAAAAACAAGGAAAACCTCTTTGGGACAGTTTTTTGGTTTCATATTCTTTGTTTTCTCTCTCGCTCTCCTTTAGTTTTATTTTTTGTAATATATTTGTTTTTTTGGTTTGGCAGGTTGAGCCGCTTTACGACCCAGAGCTGCGAGTGGGAATGAAAATGATCCACGCCGCTTTGTCGGGCGCCACCGTCACCGTGGCGGATTATTCAGGCGACTGGAAGATTTCTTTGGACTAGAAGCTTTACGTTCAGAAACACAGAGAGAAAACGAAAGATAAAGCTATTTGACCGACTTTTCAGCAGTTTCTCTCAGCAGTTATAGACTCGGTGGGCTTTTTTTTTGGTTTTGGTTTTTTGTGTAGATGGAGCAGCAGCTGCGTCGTTCCTCCCCCTGAAGCTAACGTACGTTTGAGAGCCAAAAGCTGACTTGTGTCTATAGAACGTTTGGCTGCTTTCTACTGAAGGTTTAGGTTGAAAGTTCAAAATAAAACTCGGACACAATAAAAATTATTCTAATCTAGACGTAGGGCAAAGAAATAAACAGTGTGATGCTACTGTTAGTACAGCAGAAAATCTTTGGTATGCACTGGACATTTCAGTTAGCATTAGCACTGTCATTCTTAGCCCGACAATAGAGTTCATCATTAAACTGGATATTCCAATTCTGAGGTATTCATGGAACGTGTAAGTAGCTTCGCTTTGGTGTCTTAAATTTGTTACACAGTTTTCATTCTCATTGCTTTTGTTTCCACAAATAATGATTGTTGGAGGTAGGCGTTAGCTAACACTTGGAAGTTTTGGTAGTAGATGCATGTACCGATAAAAGTAAAACGTTTATATGTTTCAGCAATAAAATAAAATAAAATTCAACCTAGCTTGTTAGCTAGCTAGTAAAAAGTGAGTATTTTCTAACTAGCTAGTTAGCTAGAAAAGTGAACATTTCCTAGCTAACCAGTTAGCTGGAAAAGTGAACATTTCTTCACTAGTTAGTGGGGCTGCGTATTGGCAAGAATTTGGCGATACGATACATATCATAACAGAGGGGTCACAATACGATATATCCCGATATATTGCGATACTGTAAGCAAGGCAATATATTGCGATTTTTTTGTCCAAAAACTCTATTAAATAAAAACCTCTTACTGAAAAAAAAAGAAAAGCTAATGTTTACTTACAATGCTAATGCTACCCTTACTCTCTGGCGCTCAAGAGGTAGAGGAGCCAAATGKCTGGCTCACTGCTGCCAACTAGTGGTCAGAGGCTGAACTACAACATAAAAATGAATGGCTGGCAAGAAGGTTGATATTTTAAACCTTAATTGAAAATCGATACAGGGCTTTAGAATATCGATACAGAATCTGGAAATGAAATATCGCGATATTTCAGTGTATCGATATTTTCTTACACCCCTACTAGCTAGCCAACCAGCTATGTACTTATTACTGTAAAAAAAAACAATATTCAATTCAATAAAGCTAATAGAAATAATTTCACTGCTGAATGAACACAATTAAGTAGGCTAAATGCTATCATATGAAGTTTCTGTGAATGTTTTTTGAACGTCACGTTGTAGTGCGTTAGCGGTTGGGGGGAGGAGAACTGCTACCGGAGTTAACGGTGAATCTTTGGTTTGTTAGCTGTTGAGGTTTCTGTTGTTCTCCTTTTTAACCGTTTTTTTTATTTTGAAAAACTGCATAGGCACACGTTAAAGACACACTTCAACCGTGAGAGACACATTAATGTTCTGCCTTTTTTTTGGTGAGTCGGAGAGAAGAAAATGGGTATCTTTTTGTTTCCTTCCCTCCTTCCCGTGTGTTTTTTTAAACCTTTTCCAGTCCCAACTTGTTCCCCCATAAAGACTGCCGTACGCAGCGTCAGACAGAACAGAGCGCTACGTCGCTACTCCCGTGATGTCGACTTCCTTCCATCTTCCCTCCATCCTTGACATCGTCGCTTCCACTCTTTTTTTTTCACTTTTTTTTGTTTTTTTTGTAATAATTCATTTCCATCTTGAGTTTTTTTTCCATTTGTCGGAACAGTTAGGTGCAGAAAAAGGTTTTCTTTGGTTTCGATTAGTCAATAAATAGAAAAAGTCTCAAGCGTCCATTGTTTTTTTTTTTTTTTTTGGATCTTAAAATGTTCTTAAAGCCTTTGGCTGCCTCTAAACCCAGACTGAGCCAGCCTGGTTTTTCTAAGGAGCAGGGGCTGCTGACTGACGCCTTTGCTTTGGTTTTGTTTTTTTGGTTTGATAGCTTGAGTGAACGATGATTGATGGTAAAAGCAGATGTGAAAGAAAACAGAGCTGAAGTTGATGGCTGTTTGGTGGTATTTACATCAGTCTGTACAGTGTAACATTTAATAAAAAATTATAAAAATAGGAGTTGTAAGATTAGATTGGATGAATGCTTGGGCGTTAGCAGCCGTCACAGAGAGAATTCATCTGTTGGCTAGCTATCCCTTTTTACCAAGCATCTATCGCTGCTACAAAGTCTTATAACTCTGTAAAATAAAACCAGATGTGAATATTTATTCCTGATGACCTAAAATAATTTGACATTTAGATTAATGGTTGAGTACTCGAAGCGTTGGGATTAATTTTGTTTGGTTTTCCAGACAACTGACTCACAGGAAGGGACGGACTAGCCAGGCATCGTCTTTAGATTGTCCTCTTTAACTATTACAAAGGCCCTGATTCGCCCGGAAAGTTCGTCCTGCACGAGTCCAGATGCTGGTTCTGTTGGGTTGTGATGGGAGGGTTGCACGTCTGAAGGCAGCTGGAAGCTTCCTAATGCATCTTAGTTTTAATGAAAACAGTTTGAATCTTTTTAGCCTGAAAGTTTTGGGGGTCAACCGTGACGCTAATGGCTCACTGGACGGCAAATGTTGGTGGTGAATGGGGAATGGCTTTCAAAATTTAAAAGTTAATGCAGGTTCTCGAGTTGCAGGACTTTTGAAGTTTAAATTTTTTGAGAAAACAAAACAAAAAAAGATAATTTAAAAAATATAGCCAGTGGTGAGCACGGTTCCGCTAATCCGCTAATAGCGGATTAGCTTTTTCACTGACTTTATGCGGACCAGCTAGCTAAAAGCCAGCTAGCTAACAAGCTAACATCAACAGGTTTGTGTCAGTCCTACCAGTCTCCAGCTGGAAAAAGGCAAAGACGTGTACGCGGTTAGCAATTAGCTGTTAGCGTCCAATAATTTTTACTTGTTAAGCATTAGCTTCTGCTAATTTATTAATTTATTTATTTTTATGTTTATTAGTTTAGTGTTAGCGACACTTCTAGTTAGAAAATTAGGAGTTTGTGACGCTAACATTTTGGCTAGCAGTGCTAGCACTCGTTGCGATCGTCTGAACTTCATCTAAAGCTGTACTCCAAGTGAATTTTGGGAGTTCAGGAATCATTCAGAATAATTTTTCGGGCAAGTTTACAGATTATTATTTTTTGTCTACATCTTTGTACCTGACAGTTGCAGCCCAGTGAGTTACAAACATTTCAGCCCTGTCCACTACTCCAGACATTTAAAAGCATTTTCTGGTATTTTTTTTTATTCCTGTCCACACGATTTAAAAACAAGAAATTTTGGTGGATTTGTGTTCTCAAAATATGGCAATCACGGTGTCACAGAAAACAAAACACAACCGCCCTCTAGTGGTGCATATTGGGTATTTCAACATTTTTGTTAAATTTGTAAAGGCAGAGATGAAAAATGTCTGTACTTGGAGTTCTGTAGACAGGGTTTAAGGCTTTAGTTGACCACTTTATTAAGCACAAATTTGCACAGTATATTTAACAAAATAAAAGTCTAAAACTAAGATGCTTTGTGAAAAGTGCTGCCTTTATTGATAAGTTGATGTAACGTCTCAGTGAATCGTTTGTGTAGCTGTTGGTCAGGGTGCAGACTTTGGGAATACTTTCACGAAATGACTCTTAAAAGCTGTAAAAATCAAGTATTTTATTGTATTTTTTGGTATAAATCTCGTCATGTAGTGACACACGCCGAATGGATTTCAGCCACTTTATTTTATTTTTTTAGAAAATATGACATCCTGAGTTTTCTAATATGTGAAACCCACTCGGCTCGGCTGTCAGGCCCGGTTCTATTGCAAAGAAAATGTGCTTCAAGATTGTGCTCACGTACATTTTAAATATTAATATATATCAACACTAATACTCCACTGAACACTACATAAAGCTGAGATGTCTGTCGGGTGAATGCTTGTGCTTGCATATTTTGCCGTTTCCTTACCTCAAGAAGTCAAATGAAGACTCAAATATTTGATATATTTTAGCACATTTTTTTGTTCTTATATTTTTGGTTAAATGTTGGCCTCCTGAACCGACCAGTTTGTTTTGTTTAATAAGTCGTGACGGTTTTTCCAGTGAACAAGACCTCGGCCCTAAACTGATGCATCTTTGGACGTTTTAAGGGCTAAAACAAAAACAAAGTTTCCACAGAAAATGTTGAATATCCCAGAGTTTCTCTCACATTCTGCAGTCATAAAGCTTTTCTTGGTTTCTTGTTTGGTTGTTTCCTAGCTTATATTGCATAATAGAAAACATAAACTGTCTTCTAGTCTTTGGTTTTTTTTGTTTTTTGTTGTTTTTTTTTGGGCTTGTGTCAGCCTGTTGTTCTAAAGGAGACATCAGAAGTGAAAGTCTGTGATTTTAAAGGTTTCCCTCCCGGTGAGATCTGTTTAAACCCTTCAGCTTTCGTAATGGACGCATGATAAATTTGCAAAAGGCGATTTGGCTACAAGTCGTGGCAGTGAGCAGCCCCTCTCAGTTTGTCTCCCTTGAGAAAAGAAAAGAAAAAGTATCTAAAAAGTTTCCATCATCCAGCTTTCCACCGGATGAAACCTGATCCCTCGACCCCCCCGCCCTCCCCCTTTTTTAAATCCTCGCCATCTCCCATCATGCTTTGGTACAAGTGCTGGACGCTGACGACTGTGCGCCGGGGCTGGCTCCGTCGTCTGTCCATTTGTCCAGGCTGCGGCGGCGGGCGTTCATGAAGAAGTTGCTTACGGTGGTGAGTTCGAGGCCCAGCTGCTGGGAGATGGTGAGCTGCATCTCTTTGGACGGCCGCTTGTTCTCCTTGAAGATGGCCAGCAGGGTGCGCCGCTGCAGGTCCGTGAAGACCAGCCGCGACTTCTTTGGTGTGTTGTTGCGATCCTTCGCCGTGTCCTGCTCCTTCCGTTTGCACGCTGCCAGGAGGAGAAGAGAACACAAAGCAGTGCGTTAGAGTCTGGATCAGGACCGAAGGACGTGGATCTGATTGGTCCACAGTCGCATACAAACAGAGAAACTGGGCCACACATGGCCTCAACTCCCCGTGTTACACTGAGCTAAAACGGTTGCTACTAGCTGAGAGTCACGCTGGAAAACATCCCACTGAGCAAAATTTTTCTGGTCCAGTACTGGCCCACACGACACACTAAACACTCAGTCCAGAATAACGGCGCTTTGGTGGCCCAGGTATGGTTTGCCTGAGGTGGTCCATGAACTGACAGATCTCACCCAAGTAAACCACAAACTGGGCCAGTTGTGGCACTTACAGATTTGGGCCACACAAAACAAAAATGGTCCAGTTGTGGATTTGGACCACATAAAGCAAACCACAGCTGGGCCAGTTGTGGATTTGGGCCACCTAAACCAAACTAAAAGCAGTCCAGTTGTGGCACTGACAGGTTTTGGTCACATAAACAAAACTACAACTGGGCCAGTTGTGGCATGCCATCTTCAAAACAGGGCCATCATTTCCATTTCTGGCCCACACCTGTCAGCTATGTGGATTTACTCATCTTGGTATCAATATTTAGATCATTATGTCCACACTGAGCTACAAATGAGCCACATGTTTAGATTTTTTACGTGAGTTTCTTTAAAGCTTGTTGGAGGAAGAGGAGGAGAAAGACGAGGAAGAGGAGGAGAAGGAGGAGGAGGAAGAGGAGGAGGAAGAGGAGGAGGAAGAGGAGGAGAAGGTGGAGGAGGAGGAGGAAGAGGAGGAGAAGGTGGCCGGAGTGTGTTTTTGATTTGATTACCTCCCTGAATTAAGTATGCACGAGTCAGAGCCTGGCTGATCAATACAAGTCAGGTTAAAGACTCGATCCTCTAACCAGCTGTTATGTAAGGGAAGCTCTGTAAACACACACACACACACACACACACACACACACACACACACACACACACACACACACA